ACGGTCTGCGGCGAAGTTGAAGCGTGAACCCGAAGGGAGAGCGCGAGTGTAGAACCGATACAAGACGTCGCGTTGGAGGCTGGGTTGCTCCCGTAGAAAGTCATGGGAGAGGTCGGGGAGGAAGGGAGGAGGAGCGGGGAGGACGTGGATCCAGCGGGCGGCGTGGTCGAGGGGAAGTTGAGCATAGAGCCGGCGACGAATGTCAGCTACGCTTGGGCAGCCGTCCCGGAGGATGTCGAGCCGCGCGCCAAGCCCTGCACCTGTATGGAAGGGGCCTGCAAGCCAGGACCCGACAACGTGTACCGCACAGAGGGCACCTATGTGGAAGGTGCTATCTCCGATCGACGGTCGGACGATGAGTCGGTTGGGCAGGACACGGTAAAGGGAGACTGAGAGCGACGACGGAGGGGAGAAGGCCGTGACCTGGAAAGCAATAGTGGGAGAGGTTTCGGAGTCTTCTTTAGGGACGAACCACTCCCCAGGGACTGCCGAGGGGGGAGGGGGGGAGCGAAGGGTTGACCACCAAGGTTTGGGGATGGCACGGATGAGTTCGCGCCAGACTCTTCGTCCAGAGGAGGAGTTGGCTATGGGAAACAGTGAGGTGAAGTGTTTGAAGGAGACCACACCAAGCGAGTGAAAGATAAGAGAGATCAAATGGCCGACACGTACCTGCTTAGATAGGAGGAAGTGTTCACGCGTGAGGATTCCGAAGGGCTTCCCGTTTGGTTTGAGAATGAAACGATTGAAGGCGGTGGGCTCGCCCATTATACACATGGGGACGAGGCGAGGTGGGGCACTGTTCGGAGTGATCTCTATTAATGCGTGTAGTTCAGCGAGTGCTCGGCCTGGGATTATCGTTGGCAGAATGCCTGCTTGAAGGATGGCAGGGTGCGCGAAGAGACAGTGTGTGCCAAATGGGAGGCAGACGGCGGCTCTGGCTATCTCTTCTGATGGTGAGGCGCCGAGGCGACGGAGCGCGCGGTGAGCAGCTAGAGCACGGATTTGGGTGGAGGGGGCAATCGCTCCAAGGCCTCCGTGGCGGGTGGAATTATACAGGAGCCGATTAGGGATGAGACGGACCGCTAGGCCGTGCTCCTTGAAACGCGAAGAGGATAGAAAGTTTCCGACCAGGACGTCTAATCGTTTGATAACGTCGGGGGAGGGGGTTTGAAAGCGGCCGGGGAAGGAGATGATAGAGTTTAAGAAGACCAACGCAAGTGACTTGCGGCAGGTGGCTGTGGCACGAAGGGCGGCGAGGAATTTAGCCGTGCGCTGAATGCGAGAGAGAGTCGTGGACCAGGTGGTGGCGCCTGGTTGTGCACGTTCAACGTAGATGCCAAGAATGCGTTCTGCCTCTTGAGGAGTGCGAATGGGAATGGGGCCGGCCAGAAGGATTTGTTCCGGGGAGATATGAAAAGGGATTATTGAGCATTTGTTCCAGTTAGGGTGTTCTCCTGAGACTGCGGCGAAGGTCCTGAGGTGTATGAGTATGGTCCCAAGCTCTCTAACAGAGGAGAGGAAGATGGTGACGTCGTCAGCGTAGCAGGCCATGAGACGGCGCTGGGTCGGAGAGAGGGGGAAACCCGGGAGGAAGAGCGATAGGTAGCGCTGTAGGATTTCAATGACACACACAAAGAGGAGGGGGGCGAGGGGGCATCCTTGTCGGACCCCGGTTCGGACTGGGAGGGTGGGTCCAGCAAGGTTGTTAACGGAGATGCAGGTGGAGGTGTTAGTGTGCATGAGGCGAACCCAGGCGATAAACTGCTCGGGGAGTCCCACCCTGGCTAGCGCTTGGAAGAGGAAAGCTCGATCGACCAGGTCATAGGCCTTGCGGAAGTCGACCGTTAAGGCGAGTAGGGGGGTTTTCGTGATTGTGCTCCAATCGAAAATGTCAAGTGTATCGTTGATCGTATCGCCAATTTTTCTGCTTTTAATGAAAGCGGTTTGGGAGGGGTGGATAATCAGGGGAAGAGCGAGTTGCAGCCGATTGGCAAGGCATAAGGCTAGCACCTTGTAGTCCGAGTTCATGAGGGTGATAGGGCGGAGGTTGTCGATCATAGAGGAGCTACCCCTCTTGGGAATAAGGACTGTGCGGCCTGATAGCATTGACGGCGGGAGGGTAGCGGAGATGTGCGGTGAGGAGAAGAGTGAGAGAAATGCGGGGGCGAAGCGGGTCTTGTATTGTCGGAAGAGCTCGCCCGGGATGCCGTCAGGGCCGGGGGTTTTGCCACGGGAGAGCTGGTTTAAGGCCTTGCTAATTTCCATTAGGGAAAAGGGAGTTTGCAGATGGTTGAGGAGTCTGGGGGGGAGTGAAGAGGGGGGGATATGAGCCCAGAAGGCAGGATTTGGCACGCCCGGGGTTGCTCCGCAGTAGAGAGACTGGAAGAAATTGGTGCATTCAGCGTTCATGACTCGTAGATCTGAGATGGTTTGTCCATCTGGTAGTATAAGCGAGGATATTAATGAGTCTTTGATGCGGGAGTTGAGTCCTGCCAGCAGGGAGGAGGTTCCCATCTCCCTATGGCCTTCGACTTTGAGCTTTGCTTTTAGAGCGAGCTCGGCGGTTTTGGATGCCTCGTATTTTGTTAGTTGAGTGCGGGCTTTGAGGAGCTGTGTGGTCGCATCATGGTCAAGAGGGGAGAGGGCAGATTGGAGCTGAAGGTGGCTGATGAGTTGTACTAGGTGGTTTGTAGTGCTTGTAACCCTTTTGCGCTCTTCGTTCGAGAAACTTTTTAGGCTAAGCGTGAGGGCCAGTTTCCAGGCGTCCCATGCATCGGCGGAAGGGCGTGATGGCAGGGAGGGGAGGTGAGATTCGATTATGGTAGCGACTTGGGGCCGGTGGAGAAGAGAGGAGCTGAAACGCCAAGGTCGCGGTGCCATGGTTGGGTTATCGAATATGAGGGTGCAGAGGGGTGCAAAGGAGTGGTCAGACACGTCAGTTGGGGTCCAGAAGTAGGAGGTTTCAGAGACCCGAGGGATGAATAAACTGGAGAGGTAGATTCGGTCCAGTCTGGAGGCCAGCGGGAGAGCAGTGCTAGCACTGGCCCGGCGGCCAAAGTAGGAAAAAACGGGGGCGGTAGGGTGGAGTGAGCGGTACACGTCGGACAGTGCGTGCGATAGCAGGAGATTAGACATCATGGTGGCTTCGCTGAGTTCGTGACCAAGTAGCGGACGGTTACGGTCTAAGGGGAGGTACCGAGTTGAAGTCACCTACGAGGATTGTGGCAGCAGCTGCGGTGGGTTGCTCCAGTGCGGGAGTTAGGATGGATCTCCACCAGATCCGGCGGTCAGTGGCAGGTCTCGGCGCATAGATAGCGAGGATGCGGAGTTGCTCCCGCAGGAAGTTGATGTGTACGGATAGGAGGCGGCCATCGGCGGAAGGGGACGGGGAGGTGAGAGATATTGCTCTGTTGAAAGATAAGATGGAGATGCCGCCGGGTTGCGGACATGGATGACCGTTTGAATTCAGTGCGTAGAGGGTGGGTGCGTGTACCGAAGAGTGTGGCCGGAGTTGGAGTGACAGTTTAGGTAGGTTTTTGGAGAGGCGTGTGTCCACTAAAATGAGAATATCTGTGTGCGATGAGGAGGAGGAGAGCCAACGCTTTAGAGCATTTCGTTTAACCGGCGTGTTGATACCATTGATGTTGAGGCAGCGGACTCGTAGGGGCGTTAACATTCTACCAGGTGGGAGCCCACCGCGCAGGAGTGTGCGCGGATCCACGGGCGTGGGTGTTTATACAGAAGGGTAGGAAGTTGGTGGAGGTTGTGGGTAACAGTCGAGCTGTCAACGAGTGCGAACTGAGGTTGGTGGTGGGTATGCTGGTATGTTGTTGGTGGATTGATTCGGACGGAAACAGAGGCGCACGAGAAGGTAGGCAGATATTGGGCGACAGAACCAGGGTGTAGAGGTGCCGCATACAGGTGAAGCTTGAGCAAGTGTGTGTTAAACTTAAGAGTGAGAAGTGAAGGGCTCCAGTTTTGAGTAGTAGCGGAGCTGATAGGTGGCGTGTTATCAATAATGCGTGAATGCGTCAAGGTGAAGCGTGGGATGAGTCTGCCTTTATGAGAGCAGTAAAAGTTGTATTCCTGGGTAGCGACAAGAAAGAGAGTACATCGGGGGTCGGGGGTGCTAGCGTTTTCACTGGTGGAGCATGTCAACCATGACGACGTATGAGAATAAGTAGCGAAGTAACGTGGGGCAGGCGGACGGGGGTCAGCAGGAACAGACGTGGTGGTAGGCGGACGAGGGGGGCTCTTTGGCGAGGCCATCTCGCCTCTTCTGTGTCCGTGCGAGGGTTGATTTCGGTCGGTAGGTGCGTCGACCGATTGAGAACCTCTGGCGGGAGGGGAGGCCACGATTACAGGGGGAGATTTTAAGGCAGGTGTAAGGAGATGTTGCGGCCGCTGACGGCGGTCGGGCGTACAGGTGGGGGCGTGTGTGATAAACAGGCGTGGATGCTCGCTCTGGTGATTCATGGTGAGAGTGAGCTTGACATGGCTGCGCGTTAGGCGAGTGTCAAGCGGGGTTGGGGTATTGGTGTTAGTGATTTGGGGGGTTAGGCGACTGCTTAGGTCGTTCATTGTTGGGGCTTGGTTTGGACTGTTCACGGTGAGGCAACAATTGTGAGGGTGTGCGATCATGATGGTTGGTGTGAAGCACACGCGTGCGGGGGGACGCAACTCCACCGGGCTGGCAGGGGCCTGAGGTGGCTGGCATGGCCTGTGCGCGAGGGGTGAAGGTTGGTAGAAGCGTGAGGTGGGTGAGGCAGGTGTGGGGTTGAGTAGTTGTTGGGGTGAGGGTTTAAAAATGGCGTATTTGGTATTTTGCGTGGATGTGAGAGTTGGAGTGAAGACTGACAGGGAAAAAGATAATACGTAGAGATTGACAAACATGATTGTGCGCACATGAGTTGCATATCCGAGGTCTAACTGGGTGCCTGCTAAATGACCAAGCCAAGGAACTAGCCACGCATCGAAGCTAAGGTGCGCAGGTCGTGACGCTAAGGGCGACCGCGAAGGAAGGCAGCCACCGGGGGCTTCTGCTGCAGCAGGGTGAGTGCGCGCCAGGGGCCAAATTCTTCCTTGGCAGCCGGGCGGTGAGCGGAGGCCTTCACGCGGGTGACGTGCAGGTCGGAGTGGATATGCTCCATGGCGCTGTCGAGGGCAGCGCCGCAGGTGAAGTCGCAGAGAGTGCAGGTCCAGTATTTGATCCAATCGCCCAGCCCAATGTAGAGGAGGCCGGGGTCGTTGCTGAAGGCGGTCGGCGCGGCATGATTGCCCAAAGAGTTGCCTGCAAGAGAGGAGGCGGTTGGGGTGAGGCAGGGGGGGCAGGGGGGACGAGGGGGTGGATGAGGGGCGGGTAGGGGGAGTCAGGGAGGAGGGGGACGTGGGGGTGAAGGCCGAGGGGGGGGAGACTATGTGGCCTGGTTGGTTGCGGGTGGAGGGAGGTGCAGGGAGGGGGGGGAGGCGCAGGGGAGGGGCGGGGGTGTTCGGGGGTCCAGGCGGGGGGGGGAGAAGGAACCAGAGGGGGGTGGATTGGCCTGCGCGAAAGCAATGTGGGAGAGACCGGGGGGAGAGGGCTGTTGGCAGAGGGGGGGAGCCTCGGTGGGAGTCGGGCAGCCCGGTCATAGCACAGGGGGCGGTTGCAGATGGGTCCCTGAATGTGTAGGGGGTGAAGAAAGTGAGGAGGGGGGTGAAAGGAGTGAGGGGGGGGGGGGAGGCGAGATTGAGGGTAGGGGGGGGAGAGGAGGGGAATCGGGGGAGAGGAGGTGTGGGGAAGTCGGGGGGTGGGGGGAGCAAAGAGGAGTGCTGGTTGAAAAAGGGGGGGATAGGGCAGGGGGGGGGGAGCGTCTCCATGCTAGCATAGGGTTGGGCAGGGGGCCCGCCCTCTGGAGGGACCATGGGAGGAGTGTCGGGAGGGGGCAGAAAGGGGGGAACCGTGAGAGGGTCCAATCTGCTAGTGGGAGGAGGGTGCGGGTGGGGGGCGAGCTTGTGGGAGGGCGGGGTACTGTCCTCAGAGGGGGAAGGGGCAGGAGTGTTGTGTGGGGGGGCGTTGACGTGGGAAGGGGCAGGGGGTGGGGGAACATGGGTGAAAAAGGGATTTCGCGATACGGAGATTGCGTGGGGGGAGTGGGGATATGGGGGGTTCGTGAGGATGGGCGGAGTCCCGACTGTAGGGGGGGGAGAGGAGGGTACAGAGGTGACAGGGACTGAGCGTCCATGGGGGGGGGCTTGCCTGCATGTGTTGGGAAGAGCAGGGAGGGGGGGGTGGCGTAGGGGGGAAGAGGGGTTGAGTGGGAGCCCCACAACATGGAAGGCCGGGGGGTGGGGAGCTGTAAGGGAGGGGTGGGTGATGGAGGGGAAGTCAGGGTAAGGGGGGGCAGCTGGCACAGGGAGAGGGGTGAGAAGGGAGGGAACGAGGGGAGTGGGTAGGGGCAGAATGAAAGTAGGGGTGGCAGGGGCCCAGACGACCTTGCGGGGGGGGGACAGCAAGGCAGTGGGGGGCGGGGGATCTTAGGGAGGGGAGGACAGCGGGGGGAGAGCGCGGGTGTTGGATGGGAGCAAGAAAGTTGCGTGATGGGGAGGTGGAAGACCGAGGGGGGAGTGGTGAGTGGATGGGGGGTAGCGGAGGAGCACATGAGAGGGCAACGGAGGCAGGCTAAGGGCGTGCAGTGACAACAAGAAGAGAGGATTGTTGCGGCTAAGACAAGAGGAGTAGATTTCGTACCATTTGCCTGCTGCAGCTGAGCAATTGAGATTGTGTTCTTGTTCGTGAGGCGTCCTCGGCGGCGGGCAGCGAAAGTCTCGTGGTCCGGTGCGCGGTGGTTGTTGCCGCACAGCGTGCACACGTGGCAGGAGAAGTTGAGCAGCATAGCTGGTTTGTTCTCCTCCAGCAGGATTTCGGACGGGATACGCTCGAAATTCGGGTCATCGGGGGTGGCGACCGGGAGCCCTGCGAGGTGGGTGAAAAAGGTGTTCTCGTAGGGATCGGAAGCGCGGTGAAATTCAATTAGGTCCGCGAGCCAATGCGAACCGTCCTCCTCGGTGGATCCGAGGAGGAAGGCACGAAGCTCCTCCGGATCGATCTCCAGGGGGACGTTTCGGATGGAAAGGGTAGGGGCGCCGGCTGCCTTTGCCGCGGTAAAACTTCAGAACGATCAACAAAAACCTTCAACATGACGGGGCGGGAGTTGGAGATTTTCAGCATGAGGGGAAAAATCTTGCGAAAAACCGCAGCATCTTCCTGCGACGGCCAAGAGAAAAGCAGGCGGCCGTACACGTGGCGAGCCACGCGGAGGGATTCGCCAACGGTGTGCTCGAAGGGGGGGATGATGCGCGAATCAAACATGAAGCCGCATAGCTGCGCGTTGATCCCGGCGAGGATTTCCGTGCGATGCGACTCCAAAATAGCCTCCGGGAGGAGGATTGTGACTACCACGCGGCGGCGGAGGGGAAGGAGCATCGGGGTGGCTGCGGAAGTGCGCGCGCGGCGGAGGTTGCGGGGGGGTCCGCCGGGCACGGGTGAGGCAAAGAGCGAGGCGGGCAGCGCGGGGGCCGGGTTAGCGCCGGAGGCGACCGTTGCGTAGGCAGCAGCGCGAAGAACCGGGCCGTTGGGGGCGGCAGCTGTTGCTGCCAGAGAGGGCGCAGGGCCTTGCTGAGTCGCCGTGGGAGCGGCAGCAGCAGCGAGGAGCACGGGAGATGGCGCGGGCTGCGCCAGCGCCGAATCGGAGGAGGTAGAGGGGGAGTTGAAGCTAGCAGGGCCAGCTCCGGGGTCCATGCAGGGCTTCTTCGCAGCAGGGTGGTCAGGGGAGCTCGCGAGGTCATCGATAAGTCCTTCGAGAAGGTCGTCGACCAAGAGATCGTCGCCGGTTTCAGCGATAGTTTCCTCTTCAGCGGCGGACATCGTCAGATCGGGGTTGAAAACCTGCTCAGCCATAAAGAAGAGTGTGTAAAGGAGTCGTAGGGGACTGGGGGAAGAGAGTTGAGTGATTGACGAAGGCTGAGGTGGGTTAAATAGGGAGGGAGCGAGGGAGCGCCCGCGGGGGAGCGTCAGGACGGAGGGGAGGCAGAGACGCGGCGGAGGCGGACGGGCGTGACGCCGTGGAGGCGAGGCTCTGTTGGCGGCTCGTTGGGAAGGGTTGGAGGGAGGGCGGACGGGAAGGGGAATGCCTGGAAGTGCATGGCCAGCGCGTAGGCAGAGGGAAGCGTGGCGACGTGGCGAGTAAATTGAGGGCTTGAGGCGGGAGTGGGCGCCTAGTTGGCAGCCCGAAACCCGGGACCGTTCGAGGGTCCAAGCGCTCGCGCGCGAGAAATGAAACTGGCAGCCTAGGCGGCGCGCCAAGTTTCTGAGCCATGTAGAGGGCTCTGCCGGAGGCGGCGTTTGAGTGGAAAGCGGGAAAAATGCAGCATTAATGCCAGGGGGGACGGGAGGTCCGGTAGTGGTGGCGCTTGGGAAGGCACGGAAGTACAGAGGCAAGAGGAGATAGCACGTAGGCGAAAAAGGCGGGACGAAGGCAGGGAAAAAAACGACCAGAAAAACGGGAGGGGAGGGGAGGTTAGCTGTATTTGGCGATTGCAGTTTGTCGAGGAAGTCCTTGGTGTTCGATGCAGAACGGGACAGCTTGGCAGGAGGAGGCCGATCTGTTGGTGAGGATTTGGAAACAACGCAGCCGAGTTTCCTGGGAGGGGACGGGGATGAGGCGAGGGAGTGGAGTGAGATTGGGTGAGTGCGCACAGAAAAAGGGAGGGAAGTTGGGGTTAGCTGGCGCTGAGGATGGAGCAGAAATTTGCAGTGAGCGCGAAATGCCACGGGGGAGAAGGAGAAGGGGAGGATTGCACTTACCTGGAGCGAAGGTTGACGTGGCGCGTTGAGGCTGGGAGGGAGTCCGCCAGTGATACGTTGGGGGAGGGAGTGGCCAATTGTAGTCGAAAAATAGAAGGGGGCGGGGAGTGGGGGGCTATCCTGCTGGTGTAGAGCCGGGGTGTGGAGTAGCCACGTAAAAACGGGAGCTGTAGAAAAGAAAAAGAAAAACGATAGCATAAACTTACCTGGAAACGAAGCTGAGTCGTATAGGGGGAACCTGCCTAGGCGGCTTAGGGTTTGACTAGCTTCGTAGCCTAACAGGCGGGTAGTTTGGGCCGAGGAGGCCATCGCGCTATCGGGTCCTTGATTCGCGACCAGGATGGTGGAGATCGCGAGTAGGAAGGAGGGAAGCCGCCGCACGCGCCTGTGAATTGCAGCCAGGCAAGTCATTGGAGCGAAATCCTGCCCTACTGGTCTCAAACTGTTTCGCCTGCGTGGGCTTGAGGCTCCAGCATGCTCCTACAGCTTCATACTTTTGATGAGGAAATGCGTGGCGGGGATCAATTCGACGTCGTGGTTGTGTTTGGAAGCAATGGCCGACGCAATGGGATGCGGTGCGGAGTCTGTGCGCTGTGAAAATGAATTTTGTCAGAAACCTTGAGCACGTCATTGGCTTGCCTTTCTGAAGAGATGTAATCGTGTGGTCACTGACTTGCCCAGGGACGCCCAGATCCAATAGTTCAGGAAAAATCGCGGAACCTACACCGTCTCCCTTGCGTTCAGTACAGTACCTTTCTAGAAAGGCAAGGCCGTCTCCGTGAAGGCCGAGTCTCGGCGAAGACCACAACACTAGTAACGACGTACAGTATCGAGGGAGATCGGATGATGTAATCTGCTCATTAGCTCTATCGACCACAAGTCGTCCACCCCACGGCGCGAATTCGATCCAAGCCACGCAGCTCCCGCCTTCATCCAAACCCATGGCGAGCCAATCGCGTTTACCAGTGCTAGGCGAGGGGGCGAATGTGCTACAGAATGGCTGGGGTAGCGCAGAATGTGGCGTACAGAGCATGGGTAATGTCACAGAACAGCATAACCCTGCGCGGATTACAGAGCAGGTGCGAGCAGTGCATGGGGACGCCCTACCCGACCGAGGCTGGTACATCGCTCTTGCGCTCATTCAGTGATCTCGTTGGTAATTAAGAACGGAATGGTGTACAGAGGAAAGATGACGTCAGAGATGACGTTCACACAGAGGATTCAGCACCTGCGAAGTCGTTCATTGGCCAATCTTCGCATCCCCGCATTGGCGGGTGCGTTCGTGAGCTTGGTTAGGAAGGCCGGTCGAACTGACAGGCTCGTTGTGAGATCAGATCCTCTAAGCGGGCCCATGGCGAGGTTAAGTGAGGCGCTACAGTGCGCCAGGCCGTGCCATGCCAGAGTACCTTAATTGCTAATTACTGGTGCGGGAATTCCCGCTCTATCCCATTCCATCGCGACGAGAGCAAGTGCGACGGAGACGCCGGGTGTCACGGCGGTGCCGATGGCGATAAAGCTGCGGGCTTCATCCCAATCTTACATCCGTTCTACCCTCCTTCAAGCGTTCAAGTGTCTCTCGAGTTTCTTTCCGCACGCGGTGCTTACAGCTGGTTGAAACGCGCATATAGAAAATGGCGACGAGCAAGCTTATTCTACCAAATCTCGACGTATCTTCCCGGCTATCGCGGGCTGTGCTCGCCACGTGTCATACGGACCAGGTTCCGTGCTCGCGCCGCGTGCGCGACAGCCGCGCGGATCTCGATCTGCTCGCGCTGGAAGGCCGGCTCTCGCTGCTCGACGCGCAGCGCGAACTCAATGCGATCCGTTGCGAACAGTTTGTTACCATGTTACAGTCGTTCCTGAGCAAGGGAGAGAGCGGCGGCGACGAGTTGCGAGATGACTGGGAATCGGGCAGAGGAAAGAAAATGTCATCTTGTTACAATCACAGCAACACAGCGGCAGTGGGGCGGGGCGAGATCCCTCGTGCGCATTCAGCGCCGGCGGAGATCGACGGCCAGAGAGTGCCGCGCAGCCACCACCGCAGCAGCAGCCACAGCGGTCGTGGTGCCAGGAGACAAGCGCTGGCCGCGAACCGCCTAACGCGGTGGGCCTCGTGCGAGCAGCGCTGGAATGGCGGCGACGACGAGTGGTGAAGCCGCCTGCTGCCCGCGCCTTCCCACCGTGTCCCCCCTCGCGACGCCGCAGCGCGCGCAGCTGTACATAACTCGCTCTGTCCGCCGACACCTTCGAGGCGCACAGCTGATGCGTGTGCTCCATTCATTCTGTCGCCCCACCGTAATTGTACTCGGGAAGAGCTTTCTCTGAAGGAAATGTAAAGATGCTGTAAACGGGTCATCCAACCCGATATTACCTCTGGGCACGCAACCCAGAGCACGGCCACGGCGGACTCTCTACATCTCTGTAGAATGATTCAATTGATTGAGACATTTAACACACTCAGCTTTGGGGGCGTACTTCAGCTTTGAAGTAAGGAAGTAGCCAAAGATACATCAGCCATTTTCTACGTGTGCTGGATGAAAGTCATGGCTGAATTCTTGCCAGGCTTTCATGGCTCTAACCATGACATGATGCCACCACTAAATTTTTGGCTACACTCTCCATCCATGTTGCAACAGCACATTCATAAGGCTTTGAATACCGGTACCTTATGAATCCAGTGGGCCATCTGCTGTAAAACACTGAACACGCAGTGCACCTCATGGAACTGAGGCAGTGATGCAGCTGAGGATTTGAAATACCATATACTATCTTCCTTGGTCACCTAATCCTCGCTGAGCTTCCCCCACCCAAGAAGCTAGTCAGATCGAAGTTCATCCTACAGCCACCCCCTATTCCTCCACCACCCTGCCGTGTCTCAGCAGTGCCGGCCCACCAGATTTCACAGCTTCCTTGAACGAGATGCGTAGGAGCCAGCTCGAAAGGGCACAAGCCAGCAAGCTGCTCGGAAGGCAGGCAGCATCAGGGGGGAGCAGTGAGCAAGCGCACGTGCGCCTCCCTGACAGCGCTCTGCACCTGCGGTGGGAGGTGGTGCAGGCAGGTGTTGTGGCGCATGGCGGGGTACCACGGCGCCAGGCTGCTCACCGCCTCGCCCACCATCTCCCACTGCCCCGCCGCCCATGCCGCCCGCACCACCGCCTCCCCTGCCGCCCACGGTGCCACTGAGCCCTCCTGGGCCAAATCCGTGCCAGTGGTGGCGCTGCTGCCCGTGCTGCTGCTGCTACTGCCATCAATGCTGTAAACAACATTTTCACATGGCCCACCGCTGACTGGGTCATGCCAGGTGGCGCGCAGGCGTGCTGCCACGTAGCACAGGGCAGCGTGGTGCAGGGCGGGCAGCATCCACTGGTGGGCGAGCGATGCGAGGTGCACGGCAGAGAGCAGACGAGTGGAGAGCGCGAGCAGAGGCAGGCGCACAGCGGAGAGTGGCACAGGAGCACTTTGATGCCGGCTTGGGCTCGCAGCAGCAGTGGTGGGGGTTGGGTGGTTGAGGTTGGTGGGTGTGAGGGTGGCATGGGGAGAGAGGGGGAGGGGGAGGAAGGAGACGCGGGCGGAGTAGAGGAAGCGCAGGAGAGCGATGAGGGTTGGTAGAGGCAGCGGTGGCAGGTGCACCTCGTGCTGAGAGCTGCAGGGGTGGCGTGGCGCACAAAGAAAGAGATAGGGGCCGCGGGGAAGACAAGCACACGAACGGAATGAGTCAACAGCAAATTGATTAACGACGACATCAGAGGGCAGACATAGCGGCATGGGGACTCTTGTGCACTGAGAAAAGCACTCCACCCGTTTCATATCCGCCATCCCACTGTCCACCCCCATGAATCCCCCCAATCGCCTATCCCGTTCCCTTCCCTCCTACCCTTCCCTTCCCTTCCCTCCTACCCTTCCCCCTTCCCTTCCCTTCCCCTTCCCTTCCCCCTTCCCTTCCCCCTTCCCTTCCCCCTTCCCTTCCCCCTTCCCTCCCCCCTTCCCTTCCCCCTTCCCGCACCTTTCACGCATGCCGCAGTGCAGCAGGGCGTGCAGGTACTGGCTGCGCGCGCCCAGCACACAGCGGTGCGCCGCCACCCGCACACACCGCCACACGCCCCCCTGCCCGCCCTCCCCCTCGCCACCGCCCTCCCCTTCTGGTCCTCCGCATGCGTCATGCTGCACCTCTTCCCCATGGCTGCTGGGGCTTGCAGGCGGTTGGAGCGCGGGGGAGAGGGGAGCGTGGCGTGCGCATGGCACAGAGGACAATGTCGCTGTGGGGGCAGAGGCATGTGCAGGGGCGGGCATGAAGGGAGACAGAGGTGAGACGAGGTGGTGAGAACAACGAGCGGTTGGAGTGTCACAGAGAGGAAAGCGTGTGCAGGGCACAGCACAGACACAGACACAGACACAGACACAGACACAGACACAGACACATGGTATGTGGGTGCTGCTGAGAGAGGAGTGATGCGCAGCACGATAATGTGCCCATGCTGCATGTTGCCATATGCCACCGAGCCACGTGAACGTGAACTATGGCAGGCCCATCATATGCCATGACGCCATATCATGCTGCCATACTCCCATGCTGCCATGCCCCATGCTGCCATGCCCCATGCTGCCAAGCCCCATGCTGCCATGCCCCATGCTGCCATGCCCCATGCTGCCATGCCCCATGCTGCCATGCCCCATGCTGCCAAGCCCCATGCTGCCATGCCCCATGCTGCCATGCCCCATGCTGCCATGCCCCATGCTGCCATGCCCCATGCTGCCATGCCCCATGCTGTCATGCCCCATGCTGCCATGCCTCACCTCCAAGGCGGTCCAGCAGGACCAAGTGCTGACGTCAGATCACAACCCAATGCATCATCACGGCCCCAGATCGGCCAATCACAGCGAAGGAGTGCAACGAGCCCATCCAACCGGCACTTCTTAGCCAGCTGCAGCAGATCCTTTGACGGCCAATGAGAGAGCGACACCTGCCCCGTGTATATGTACTCCAAGAGCTGACTAAACGTCTCAGCACTCACACCCTTCCCCAGCCGCACCTCCCTCACCGTCCCCTCCTCTCCCTCCGCCCCCTCCCCTCCCCCCCTTGCCATCCCTTGCCCATTCACCCCCTCGTCCTTTCCCTTATCGAGAAGAGAGGGGGTGCTATGAGGGGGGGCAGGCGGGGAGAGGCGGGCAGGGGCGGAGGGGGAGGTGAGGGGCGAGACGAGGGCGGGGCAGCGGGCAGCCATGATTGCCGCGTGCGCCACCACTCGCAGTGGGGAGGCGGCAGCGGTGGAGGTGGGCGCAGAGGGGTGCGTGAGGAGGAATGCCACGTGCGCCTTGGGGCTTGCAGGGGAGGGTGTGAGCGGGATGAAGTGAGTGTTTGAGGCATGAGTGGGGGAGGAGGCGGAGGAGGATGAGGAGGGAGGCGAGAGGCAGGAGAGGGCACAGCGGATATCACGGCCCACAGCAGAGGGCACTCCTAGTGGAGGGGGCTCACTGACTGTGGTGGGCGGCTGGTGAGAGGGCTGCTGTGCGGCAGCAGGCAGCACAGTGGAGTGCAGGCGGGGGCAGGGGAGGGAGCGGCAGAGGGAGAGGCAGCAAGCAGCGAGGCAGAGCAGGCGGGGAGAGGCGGGCAGGCGGGGGGAGGCGGGCAGGCGGAGGGAGGCGGGCAGGCGGAGGGGGAGGGGCGTGACGAGGGCGGGGCAGCGGGCAGCGATGATTGCCGCGTGCGCCACTACTCGCAGTGGGGAGGCGGCGGCAGCGGTGGAGGTGGGTGCAGAGGGGTGCGTGAGGAGGAAGACAACGTGGGCATTGGGGGTTGCAGGGGAGGGTGTGAGCGGAGTGAAGTGAGTGTGTGAGGCGGCACGCGGGGAAGAGGCTGGGGAGGAGGAAGGGGAGAGGCAGGTGACGGCAGCGCGGAGGTCACGACCCACAGCAGAGGGCACTCCTAGTGGGGGTGGCTCACTGTGTGTGCCGGGCTGCTGGTGAGAGGGCGGCTGGTGAGAGGGCTGCTGGTGAGAGGGCTGCTGGTGAGAGGGCTGCTGGTGAGAGGGCTGCTGGTGAGAGGGTTGTTTGGCAGCAGCAGGCATTGCAGCGGAGGGTGGGGGAGGGCGGGGCAGGGAGCAGCAGAGCGAGAGGCAGCGGGCAGCGAGGCAGCGCAAGCCAGCAGGCGATGCGGGATGGAGGAGACGAGTGAGGGCGGGGATGAGGTTTTCAGGGAAGAGCACGCAAGGCGGGCCGGGTGAGAGTGGCTGTGAGAGAGGCAGGTGGGATGGTAACGGCTTTGCGGGGTGCAGGACGGCCAGCAGAGCTGTCAGGGCTGACAACAGAATGATGTCAGCACCTTGCCATGCTGTGACGTCAGCACAGTATGACGCGTGTGGTATGTCCGGCCACTCATAAGCCAACAGCATGACGTCAGCACTCTCTTTCCCGCTGGCCTGAGCACCCCCCTCGCACCCCGTCACTCCCATCATATCGTTCTCCCCTCCCTCCAGCTCCCCCTCCCCCCACCACGCTTCATTCCCCTCATCCCATCCCCACTCATCCTCCCCATAACCTTCCTCTCTCGCTCCGCCTGCCCACCCCTCGCCTTGCCCCAACCTTCCTCCGCCCCCGCCCTTCCTCCCATCATCAACCCACCCCCTCACCTCCCCCCTTTCCCGCTCCTCCTCCACCTGCCCCTCCCCCTCCTCCCCTGCGCCCCCCTTGGTCCACAGGGCTACGCGTGCCGCCACCACCAGTCCCACGGCCTCCACGCCCCCCTCCGCCCGCACTGCCTCCCCTCCCCGCCCGTCACACGCCAGCGCTGCCACCACTAGCAGCTTCGTCGCAGCTTCCAACTCCTGTACTGGCATGTCAGCGGTGAGAAATGGTGCAGAGGAGTGACGAGGGGCGGAGCGCGAGCAGAGGCGGCAGGCGAGGGCAGCCTGGCGCACGGCTGCTGCTGCCAGCCCGCCCAGGCTGGCCTCGCGGCCGCCTTCCCATTCCCTGCCCTCTGCCCTGCACCCGCCACAGCTGCTGCTGCTGCTGCCGCTACCACTTGTGCTACTGCTGGTGCCGCCACTACCCTCCTGCCCTGCAGTGCTGCTGTCACCCTGGCGGGCACTGGGTGCTGCCCTGCCTGCTGCACGCTCACCACCCTCGCTCCCGCCCTCCCCCGTGGGCCGTGCCTCACACGAGGCGGCTGCGAGTGCTTGCAAGAGGGCGGTGCGGGAAAGAGAGGCGAGGGCGGGGCAGGGCGAGGAGAGCAGCGCGGTGAGCAGGGCGTGGGCCGTGGGCGGGTGGAGGGTGGTGGTGGTGGGTGTGGGCGAGGGTGCGGAGGCGATAGCAAGGGGGCGAGGTGAGGTGTGAGAGGAGGGAGCAAGCAGCGCCACCAGGTGAGCGCTGCAGTCACGGTGGGTGGGGGGGAGAGAGGGGCAACTGAAAATCAACGCTTGCAGCAGGCTGTGGGGAATACGGATGAGAGGGATGGACAGCACAGTGCTAAGCTAAGTCATGGAAAGCCACAGCTGGATTCACAGGGGGAGGTTAAAGAGGTTGCAGAGGGGGACAGTAGACGAGGTGGGCAAAGGTGCGGAGGCAGCATCCAAGATTGGCCTCAAGAGCCCACCCACCAGAATCACATCACAGCAGAGGCGAGGCTGTGGGCCCACCCCACCCACATCCTCACTACACACAGCAGCTCCTCACATCTGTTTCACCCCACTCACTCTTTAGTAATACCTCTCGTCGCTCACCATGCCAATGCTGCTACCGCCTTCATGCCTGCATGTTCATCCGCTCCCCCCCCGCTCCTTCCACCTTCTTCCCCTTTTCCGCCCCCACCACCCACCCCTCCCCTGCTCTCCCTGCTCTCGCCTGCCTTCCCACACGCCCTGCTTCCTGCCTCCTTCGCCCTCACTAGAGTCACACCTCCCTCTGAGTCACACACTGCCACGTGGCAGAATGCTGCCATCCACCTCACTGCCTCCCACGCTGCCGCCATGATAGCTTGTGACCCTCCCCCCTCCTCCTCCCGCCCACCCGTCCTGCCATCAACTCCCCCACTGCCCATCTGATCCTCGCTGCTGTTCCGGCCGCATCCTGACTCTACATCCACCCCGCCGCCCACCAGTGCACGCATCAACACAGATGCGGACAAGCCTGCCGCCCGCAGTACGTCCGGGTCATGATGGCCACCCGGCCAGCGCAGGAGGCTCGCTGCAGTGCGCCAGGCAGATGCTGCCACGTGGCTGGCTGCTGAGCTGGCAGGCGAGGAGGAGGATGAGATGAGGCGGAGGGAGGGCGGGTGGGGGCAGTGGCAGGGGTTCAGGGGGAGCGGTGTGAGGGCTGCTTGCAGAGAGAAGGTGAGGAGGGGGGTGAGGGGCGATGGCGCGGTAGTGGTGGCGGGCCAAGTGCATTGAGTGGCAGCAGCAAACGATGGGTGGCTCTGCACACATGACGTGTGATGGGGTATGAAGAGGACACAGGGGGGGAGAGAAAATTGGTAAGAATTGGCTTGTGCATGACTGTATGTGTCACAGAACACCAAGGACCGTTTAAGGGACAAGGGGTGCTGCGAGAGCAGCATGCATCCCGGGGAGAAATGCTCGATGCGCGAGGGACGTGCATGGCAAGAGCGATTCATGGAAGGAATGACCGTACAGCGAGGGCATGCAGAATCGAGAGGGCGGCTTCATGGCAGGCGGTACAAGTGACAAGGCAATAGGAGGGGGAGGAGGAGTGTGAAGGGGGCGCGGGTGAGAGGTTGCGGGCGAGAGAAGGGAGGAGGCGGAGGGGCGGGTGAAGCAGCAGGTGGCACATCGAGGGGTCCTGCGCTGCGAGGAAAGGGGGGTGGGTTGGTGCACGGGGATCATGAGTTGAGTAGAGCATACCCATGCACACACAAGTAAGACATTTGCTCATCCATGAATCATGGTTACGTGCAGATGGGGTGCACCCACGCCAATCCAGTTTACCTGGAAACACATAAAGAGAGCTTAAGAATGGGAAGCAGTCGCATGGCCCACTCACCCATGGCAGTGAGAAGGCTCAAAGCTGCTTCTGAAACAGCAGAAGCACCACCATCCACGTGCGCCCCATGTGGCAGCGGTAGGGCCATGGCCACCAACTGCACCAGGCGTCCCCTGGCGCCTGACAGGTGTGCCGGGTAGCGCAGCTCCCGTTTCACCTCCCTGCCACCTGCCGGCCACCGCTTCACCAGCAGCACCAGCACATGCACCACCGCTGCCACTGCTGCTGCCTGCCTGCCCTGCCACGGGGCACTTGGCTCGCAGCCGCCGCCGCGGCCGCCGCTGCTGCAGGTGTTGCTGCCGTACCTGGTGCTGGTCGTGGGTGTGCTGCTGCACGTGCTGTGCGCCCTTACACCTCCATCCGCTCCTGCCACTCCTCCACACACCTCCCTTCCACTTGAAGCAGCTGCAGTGTGAGAGTGCATAATCCTTGTCCCGCCCACGTCACCTTCCCTTTCCCCCGCCCCCACCACCGCTCCCCTTTCCACGCCCCTCCCAACCACCACATCTGCTGGCCCCCACAGCCACTCCGCTACCCGCCCCACAATTCCCGCCCTCCTCCCCTCTCCACCACCCCTACCCTTGCCGCCCTTCCTAACCTCCCCACCATTGGTGGTCGGGGCAGCGGAGGAGGGCGAGAGATGGAGGCGCCACAGTGAGGCGAGCAGGGGCGCAGTGAGGCGAGCAGGGGCGCAGTGAGGCGAGCAGGGGCGCAGTGAGGCGAGCAGGGGCGCAGTGAGGCGAGCAGGGGCGCAGTGAGGCGAGCAGGGGCGCAGTGAGGCGAGCAGGGGCGCAGTGAGGCGAGCAGGGGCGCAGTGAGGCGAGCAGGGGCGCAGTGAGGCGAGCAGGGGCGCAGTGAGGCGAGCAGGGGCGCAGTGAGGCGAGCAGGGGCGCAGTGAGGCGAGCAGGTGCGCAGTGAGGCGAGCAGGGGCGCAGTGAGGCGAGCAGGGGCGCAGTGAGGCGAGCAGGGGCGCAGTGAGGCGAGCAGGGGTGCAGTGAGGCGAGCAGGGGCGCAGTGAGGCGAGCAGGGGTGCAGTGAGGCGAGCAGGGGCGCAGTGAGGCGAGCAGGGGTGCAGTGAGGCGAGCAGGGGCGCAGTGAGGGTGGCGAGCGGCAGGGCGAGGGGCGAGGCGGATGGGGGGGAAGCGGGGAGCGCGGTGGGAGGGGGTGCGAGGAGGGAAGAGGGGAGGGCGGGAATGGGGGCGTGGCGGAGAGGGTGGGAGAGGGGGTGTGGCGGCAGGGCGAGGAGCGAGGCAGTTGAGGGCGGTGCAGGCGTGTACCACCACATGGTCGTCTGGTGTCACACGGGGCATGATGGGCGCATGGGGCACACGGGGCAGGGAGCACAAGAGAGCAGCACGGGAACAAGGGGTACACAGGGCAGGGCGGTGCAGACAAGGAGGGGAAGAGAGGGCGCAAGGCATTTTGAGTTGAGTTGGATACGGTGAGCAGAGGCCATAAAATCAAAGCAACACACGGGGCGGGTAACGGGAGAGGGTGGTGAGGGAGAGGGAGAGGGAGAGTGGTCCACGGGGCAGTGCAGGCAGGGCAGGGTGCTTGGAACACAGCAGTGGCGGCAATGGGTTGCACAGGGAGCAGAGCAGCGAGGCAGAGCGCATGAGAGGCAGCACAGCACATGTACTTCTGTGCGCGGACTCGCGCAGAGTAGACGGCGAATCACAGTAGCACGGCAACCACTTGGTCTCCCCCAGCAATGACCGTGCCCAACACAGCATAGGTGATTTGCTCGGTTGATCAACACTAGCCCACGTCCCCACTCTCACGTCCCCCATCACGCATCCTACGCCGCTTGTCACTCACCCTCCTCACCCTCCTCACCCTCCTCACCCTCCTCACCCTCCTCACCCTCCTCACCCTCCTCACCCTCCTCACCCTCCTCACCCTCCTCACCCTCCTCACCCTCCTCACCCTCCTCACCCTCCTCACCCTCCTCACCCTCCTCACCCTCCTCACCCTCCTCACCCTCCTCACCCTCCTCACCCTCCTCACCCTCCTCACCCTCCTCACCCTCCTCACCCTCCTCACCCTCCTCACCCTCCTCACATGTGTTGACAAGAGCGTGATGTGATGTGATGTGATGTGATGTGATGTGATGTGATGTGATGTGGTGTGATGTGATGTGATGTGATGTGATGTGATGTGATGTGATGTGGTGTGGTGTGGTGTGGTGTGGTGTGGTGTGGTGTGGTGTGGTGTGATGTGATGTGATGTGATGTGATGTGATGTGATGTGATGTGATGTGATGTGATGTGACGTGATGTGATGTGATTGTGATGTGATTGTGATGTGATGGAGTGAGATGTTGCACAGGGAGGTACAGCAATGGAAGAGGACGGAAAGGGGAGAGACGGAGGGGTGGGGCGAGAGGGACGAGCAGAGAGGGGGGAGCAGAGAGGGGGGAGCAGAGAGGGGGGAGCAGAGAGGGGGGAGCAGAGAGAGGGGAGCAGAGAGAGGGGAGCAGAGAGAGGGGAGCAGAGAGGGGGGAGCAGAGAGAGGGGAGCAGAGAGAGGGGAGCAGTGAGAGGCGGCTCCCCTCCCCTCTCACTCTCCGTCCTCCCTTTCATGCCCCAACCCCCCCAACCCGCGTCACCACCATCAGCAGCGAGCATCGTTCCGGCCACCACAATTGACGGCGCTTCAAGCAGCACAGCAACACGACATGCCTCTCGCTCCCCACGCTTCAAGCAGCACAGCAACACGACATGCCTCTCGCTCCCCACGCTTCAAGCAGCACAGCAACACGACATGCCTCTCGCTCCCCACGCTTCAAGCAGCACAGCAACACGACATGCCTCTCGCTCCCCACGCTTCAAGCAGCACAGCAACACGACATGCCTCTCGCTCCCCACGCTTCAAGCAGCACAGCAACACGACATGCCTCTCGCTCCCCACGCTTCAAGCAGCACAGCAACACGACATGCCTCTCGCTCCCCACGCTTCAAGCAGCACAGCAACACGACATGCCTCTCGCTCCCCACGCTTCAAGCAGCACAGCAACACGACATGCCTCTCGCTCCCCACGCTTCAAGCAGCACAGCAACACGACATGCCTCTCGCTCCCCACGCTTCAAGCAGCACAGCAACACGACATGCCTCTCGCTCCCCACGCTTCAAGCAGCACAGCAACACGACATGCCTCTCGCTCCCCACGCTTCAAGCAGCACAGCAACACGACATGCCTCTCGCTCCCCACGCTTCAAGCAGCACAGCAACACGACATGCCTCTCGCTCCCCACGCTTCAAGCAGCACAGCAACACGACATGCCTCTCGCTCCCCACGCTTCAAGCAGCACAGCAACACGACATGCCTCTCGCTCCCCACGCTTCAAGCAGCACAGCAACACGACATGCCTCTCGCTCCCCACGCTTCAAGCAGCACAGCAACACGACATGCCTCTCGCTCCCCACGCTTCAAGCAGCACAGCAACACGACATGCCTCTCGCTCCCCACGCTTCAAGCAGCACAGCAACACGACATGCCTCTCGCTCCCCACGCTTCAAGCAGCACAGCAACACGACATGCCTCTCGCTCCCCACGCTTCAAGCAGCACAGCAACACGACATGCCTCTCGCTCCCCACGCTTCAAGCAGCACAGCAACACGACATGCCTCTCGCTCCCCACGCTTCAAGCAGCACAGCAACACGACATGCCTCTCGCTCCCCACGCTTCAAGCAGCACAGCAACACGACATGCCTCTCGCTCCCCACGCTTCAAGCAGCACAGCAACACGACATGCCTCTCGCTCCCCACGCTTCAAGCAGCACAGCAACACGACATGCCTCTCGCTCCCCACGCTTCAAGCAGCACAGCAACACGACATGCCTCTCGCTCCCCACGCTTCAAGCAGCACAGCAACACGACATGCCTCTCGCTCCCCACGCTTCAAGCAGCACAGCAACACGACATGCCTCTCGCTCCCCACGCTTCAAGCAGCACAGCAACACGACATGCCTCTCGCTCCCCACGCTTCAAGCAGCACAGCAACACGACATGCCTCTCGCTCCCCACGCTTCAAGCAGCACAGCAACACGACATGCCTCTCGCTCCCCACGCTTCAAGCAGCACAGCAACACGACATGCCTCTCGCTCCCCACGCTTCAAGCAGCACAGCAACACGACATGCCTCTCGCTCCCCACGCTTCAAGCAGCACAGCAACACGACATGCCTCTCGCTCCCCACGCTTCAAGCAGCACAGCAACACGACATGCCTCTCGCTCCCCACGCTTCAAGCAGCACAGCAACACGACATGCCTCTCGCTCCCCACGCTTCAAGCAGCACAGCAACACGACATGCCTCTCGCTCCCCACGCTTCAAGCAGCACAGCAACACGACATGCCTCTCGCTCCCCACGCTTCAAGCAGCACAGCAACACGACATGCCTCTCGCTCCCCACGCTTCAAGCAGCACAGCAACACGACATGCCTCTCGCTCCCCACGCTTCAAGCAGCACAGCAACACGACATGCCTCTCGCTCCCCACGCTTCAAGCAGCACAGCAACACGACATGCCTCTCGCTCCCCACGCTTCAAGCAGCACAGCAACACGACATGCCTCTCGCTCCCCACGCTTCAAGCAGCACAGCAACACGACATGCCTCTCGCTCCCCACGCTTCAAGCAGCACAGCAACACGACATGCCTCTCGCTCCCCACGCTTCAAGCAGCACAGCAACACGACATGCCTCTCGCTCCCCACGCTTCAAGCAGCACAGCAACACGACATGCCTCTCGCTCCCCACGCTTCAAGCAGCACAGCAACACGACATGCCTCTCGCTCCCCACGCTTCAAGCAGCACAGCAACACGACATGCCTCTCGCTCCCCACGCTTCAAGCAGCACAGCAACACGACATGCCTCTCGCTCCCCACGCTTCAAGCAGCACAGCAACACGACATGCCTCTCGCTCCCCACGCTTCAAGCAGCACAGCAACACGACATGCCTCTCGCTCCCCACGCTTCAAGCAGCACAGCAACACGACATGCCTCTCGCTCCCCACGCTTCAAGCAGCACAGCAACACGACATGCCTCTCGCTCCCCACGCTTCAAGCAGCACAGCAACACGACATGCCTCTCGCTCCCCACGCTTCAAGCAGCACAGCAACACGACATGCCTCTCGCTCCCCACGCTTCAAGCAGCACAGCAACACGACATGCCTCTCGCTCCCCACGCTTCAAGCAGCACAGCAACACGACATGCCTCTCGCTCCCCACGCTTCAAGCAGCACAGCAACACGACATGCCTCTCGCTCCCCACGCTTCAAGCAGCACAGCAACACGACATGCCTCTCGCTCCCCACGCTTCAAGCAGCACAGCAACACGACATGCCTCTCGCTCCCCACGCTTCAAGCAGCACAGCAACACGACATGCCTCTCGCTCCCCACGCTTCAAGCAGCACAGCAACACGACATGCCTCTCGCTCCCCACGCTTCAAGCAGCACAGCAACACGACATGCCTCTCGCTCCCCACGCTTCAAGCAGCACAGCAACACGACATGCCTCTCGCTCCCCACGCTTCAAGCAGCACAGCAACACGACATGCCTCTCGCTCCCCACGCTTCAAGCAGCACAGCAACACGACATGCCTCTCGCTCCCCACGCTTCAAGCAGCACAGCAACACGACATGCCTCTCGCTCCCCACGCTTCAAGCAGCACAGCAACACGACATGCCTCTCGCTCCCCACGCTTCAAGCAGCACAGCAACACGACATGCCTCTCGCTCCCCACGCTTCAAGCAGCACAGCAACACGACATGCCTCTCGCTCCCCACGCTTCAAGCAGCACAGCAACACGACATGCCTCTCGCTCCCCACGCTTCAAGCAGCACAGCAACACGACATGCCTCTCGCTCCCCACGCTTCAAGCAGCACAGCAACACGACATGCCTCTCGCTCCCCACGCTTCAAGCAGCACAGCAACACGACATGCCTCTCGCTCCCCACGCTTCAAGCAGCACAGCAACACGACATGCCTCTCGCTCCCCACGCTTCAAGCAGCACAGCAACACGACATGCCTCTCGCTCCCCACGCTTCAAGCAGCACAGCAACACGACATGCCTCTCGCTCCCCACGCTTCAAGCAGCACAGCAACACGACATGCCTCTCGCTCCCCACGCTTCAAGCAGCACAGCAACACGACATGCCTCTCGCTCCCCACGCTTCAAGCAGCACAGCAACACGACATGCCTCTCGCTCCCCACGCTTCAAGCAGCACAGCAACACGACATGCCTCTCGCTCCCCACGCTTCAAGCAGCACAGCAACAC